AGAAGTTCTTCCTCATGTTCAGACGGAACTTCCTGTGTTTCAGTTTGTGCCCATTGCCCCTTGTCCTGTCGCTGGGCACTACTGAAAAGTGCTTGGCCCCATCCTCCTGACACCCACCCTTCAGATATTTGTAAGCATTTATAAGGTCCCCTCTCAGCCTTCTCTTCTTCAGGCTGAACAAGCCCAGCTCCCTCAGCCTCTCCTCATAGGACAGATGTTCCAGTCGCCTCACCATCCTTGTAGCCCTCCGCTGGACTCTCTCCAGCAGCTCGTCATCTTTCTTGAATTGGGGAGCCCAGAACTGGACAGAGTACATCCAGATGAGATGAGTATGTCTGGAAGTCAAAATTTAAGCGGCAACAACTTTCATTCCCTCCCCACCCCCTTTCTTTTTTACTTAACTTCTGGTTGCTGAAGTAACCAACTAAGCAGGAGGAAACCCACAAAATGTAACATTCTGTTCTACTTCAGTAGCAGTTGGTGACCAATCTACTGCTATCACAAGAAACTATTTCACATTACGGACTGAACAAAGGCTCCCTAACTATAAAAAATGGACCAACTTTCAGTTGACATAAGGAAAATTACTAGCAATCAGTAACAGTTGCTGGAGCACCAAAACCTTTGTTTTTAAAGCTTCCTCCTATGAGTCTTCCAAAACCAATTCCCTAACTGGTAGGAACACAAGTTTATATCCACTAGAGATCTAGCCCCCAAATTTATAAAAACATCAACAATCCTGCTATAAAAACAAAGTATTCTTACAAGAAACTGCCAGAACAATTCTCCCCACAAACACACGTTTTACAGCTACATTAATTTCAGTTCAACTGGAAACAAGCTACATTTGCCAAGTAGGAGAACAGAGGGGAAGAAAAAGGGGGGCAAAAACAACAGTAAGGGAATTTTTTTTCTTTTTAAGAGGATGATGAAGTAATCAGGATAACTCTGGAGCCCATCAAATTCTGTTTGGACTGGCAAACCTGACAGGTGGCCTACTTTTTTTCTTTAAACCTTACACTCAGGAGGTTATTCATGTTTTCCACGCTTAACTGTTCATTTACAGCAATTTGGTGAGCCCCTACAAAACCTGAACAAAGTGAGCAGTCACGAAGAGGACAGATTTCTCTTTTTTTTTTTTGGGTGAATGAAAAACTGGAGGGAGGGGAAGGAAACAAAATTAAAAAAAAAAAAATGGTGGACACAGTAATCACAAAGCAGGGAGCCAATCATACTTCTACTTACACAGATGTACAGAACCTGAACAATACACTAAATTTGAAGAGTGTCTCAAAAACAGAGGCACACCAGCTGTCCTCTGAATATACAGCAGTGTTGCTATAGCCATGTTTTGTATGCAGCGTACCTTCCAGAGATGCTCTGTGCCAACACATCAGAAAAACACGTAGTCTGTCCCTGCCTTCAGATGTAAGCTCTGTTGAACTGCGTGGAAGTAATTTGAGGTTGTCCTCTCCAAAAAAGAAAAAAACAACAACAACCCCATCCTTCTCTCCCCCTATATTTTTAAGGGTGTTTATTCAAACATCTTAACACTTCTCTAAATGGGAGTTGGGGGGAGGTGGGTATAAAAGAGTCTTACCAGGACCTGATTAGGAAAATTGAATCTCTATCAAATCCCATGTTGTGGTATTTCTACAGAATTCCATATGCAGGCTCCTACGTGCAGGAGCTTACTGCACTTTTCAGATGATAGCACTACATAGTCTAATGCTATGGTGTGGCCGACTGCCACACAGAAGATCAGGATCCAATTTCTGACCTCATATGCTTGCCCCATGAGGGTTGAGGGTCTGGAAATGGTACAGAAGCACCACAGGAAGATAATGCCTGTTACATCTCCCCAGCTGAGAAAAACAGCCCAGTGAACCTCCTCAGCTATAGAGGAGATGCCCAGGAATTCCCAAGGCACACTTGAATTAATTCCTTTTGATCTGAAAGGGACAAACTAACATTTGGTTAATTTTCAAGGAGATAAAGAAAGAACTGTCTGTGGAAGGCGGGTAGACATGAAACCATGGTGTTAACAATTCATGTTCTGGAACAGGAGATGCAAGTATCCTTGGCAACTGACCAGAAAACCTGCTTTAATTGAAGCAATGATGTTTTAAAACTTGCTTGCATCAGAGTAGTACCCACATGCACTAGACACTTTCTAAGGAAGGGAGCAAGCATTTGCCCCAGCAACGCAGTCAGACAGTCCAATATCACAGTAACACCATATGAAGTGGACCCTGGAGCTTGTAAGCACCCCTGCTAAGCCTAGTGAAACAACACATCCACGCTGCAGCCCAGCAAACCAAAGCAACTTGTAAATCAGGACTGTAAGTTTAAGTTCTCAGGCAAAGCAAACAAATAGGGAATATTGCTGTTGGCTTAACTAGAGGAAGATACCAAGTTAGGCAAGTGATCTTAAACAGGAGGAAAAGCCTAACTCTGTCTTAAGTATACAGATACCACTAACAAAAGATCAGCTCTCAACAGTGTCTCTCAATCTATTTCACAAAAAAAAAAATCTCCTTCACACATACACATCCTTTTGATTGAAATCACATGGTGAACTTTTCAAAACTCTATACAAATGCCACAATGAAAGAAGAGATTTAAAGTACTTCACACAACAAACCCCAAAAGGTTTTGCCATCTGGATTCCCAAGTAACCCATTCCTTCATTTTTGCTTCCTAGAGTTTGCCTTCTTTCCAGACAGCTACACAAAATTCTTGGAAATTATTAGGATAGAGCTTCATTTGTCTAGTATTCTGCCCAGGATTGCATACACGGAATTAGAGAAAAATTTCAAGTGGGCACAATTCCAAGTGGGCCTCCTGTCATTTTGGCCAATTACGCTAATGACCACCTTCTCAATGAAATCTACCAAGACTTAATTGACTGTCAAGTCAGTCTGAGGTACTCTAATTTACTACCTTGTATGGTTAATTAAAGTGCACTGAACAACATCCAAGACTATCCTGCAAATCCTGCAACCAACCAAATGTTGTTGGGACGGTTTTTTCATATTAAAGTTCAGCTTAAAACTCTTAAGCTGTGCTCAACAGACAGTTGAAAAAAAAACCCACTAAATACTCTAAAAAACATTTCCCAACAAATTCCCAGCTTTCAGACCATTTTTTTGTGACATTCTTATACAAAAAAAAACACATCCCACCCTGCCAAGACAAAAATCATTCAGAAATACACCTCTCAAAATGCATATCTGCCCTACTCTTTGATCTACTACATTACTGAAAAGCACAATTTCAGAATGTTTCATACCCTACCACAGTTTAATGTCTTGATTTAAAAAAACCAAACCTTGAAGAAAAAAAATTACTCATGTTAATATTATATTAAAATCCGTTTCTCCACTGCATGAATGCATTGATTTTTTAATTGTAGAAATTACTATAAATACAAATACTATCAGCATTTATTTGGTTAATTAGATGTTTGGCTTTCAAAACCAATGCCTAAGTCTGCAAATATTTAAAGATGGAAACCCCACAATAGCACATCAAGTTATACCCCACACATCAATGTGAAATGAACAGGTGACCTACATTAGCAGTACTGAACATTTTATACTTCATAGACATAAAAATGGGTAAGGCTTCTCAACTTTAGCAGCATCTCTTTAATGCCTCAGGGTATAAAACAAGATCCTTCCAAAAAAAAATTTCAATTCATTGCTAAGACTTTTTCTGTCCCCAGTATCTTTATTACATGCATATTTGCACTCAAATGTCCAACTCACAATCTCCTAAAAGATGGCCTTAACAACAACAACAACCATTTTTAGACACAGAAGACTGTCGCTAGGCATTCAGCCTGGAAAGCAATAAATCTGGTGGATGCATGTTATTAATTTGAAAAGGTTTTCTGAAGAACAAGATGCCAAAGCTTTGACATAAGTCATTTGCCAAGAGTTAACTATTTACACTCATAGTCTGACACAGCTTCAAAACCCAGCACTACAAAAACATGAAGGAATTACACTAGCAAGTGTCACTCAACAAAATAACAACTTGGAGGTTGGGAGAGAAGAACTCACTAGTAATGTGCAAATTTCAGAAAAGCTTCAAAGGAATGTAAAGAACAAAATCTTCTAAAGACTGAATTGACTTTGAGGTCATTAGCCTAGGGAGGAGGAAAAAAAAAAAAAGAAAAAATGTTTGGCAATAAAACACAAGAAACCAAATTAAACAGGTAAAGAGAACCAGGCATTCGACAATTTTGTTCTCAGCTGCTGTCATCCACTTTCCTAACCGAGGAAAGTTCCTTGGTTCGTTCGTAACTTAGCTTCTTGTGTTTGGGAGAAAGATAATAAACATTTACAAGACAAGGTAGCTACGAGTACCAGAGCTTGCACTATGTTTGGCCTGGCTCATCCTGAAGCTAAAGTCTTTTTGACTACTTTTATGGGATTAAGTCTTAGGGTCCGGTTTAAAGTCCTAATTACAACACTGCACTTGAATGTGAAAATCCCAACATTTTCTGT